TCAATCTCCATCCGAGAAGGTAGAATCCAGAATCAATCAAACGCGAAAACTACCTAAACCAGATAGAGACCCGATTCGAAGCTCGGACCCACGACAAGACGGACCGGGCAGTCAGTTACCTTTCCAAAAGCAGCCGCTCAATCGGCATCGCCCACTTGCGTGTGCCTAAATTTCAGCGACGTTGAGTTTTCCTTGAAAAAGAGGGAAGAGAAACGGGCAAAAAGACCAGAAGGACAGCGACGAGCCTTCTATGAGCAGTGAGGCCAAGATTGCCCCCCTTCAACAGCAGCTACTGGCCACATTCCTCTTGCTCTCTCTACCAGCTGCTCACGTTCTTTCTTCCTCAATTCCTCCGTCCGAGCCTTAAGACTCCCACGAGCTCAAGTGTCGGAATTCCCTGTTCAAGCATCACATCGGGTTGACTTTGCCTTGGGAATGGGAACAGTGAGTGGGTCGGTTCACGTTCACTTCCCAACAGTTACTTCTGTCTGTGGGAAACTTTCATCATGCTCGAAGCTCATTCGGAGTGCGTGGCGATCCAGGAACAGTGGTTTCAGTTAATGGGAGAATGTGATGGTGTGTCGCGCACAGTGGTGTGATAGGGAATTGCCGTCTTTTGAGTTTGACATGGACAAATTACACGGACGGCGTCCCAAAACTTAGATGAGTAGTGCACTCGAGTCCTATAATATTTGTTTTGGTTATTTGAATCCCGAAACTTGCAAAAGGAAAATGTTGAAGTGATTAATTCCATAAGGCATTAGGTAGGTGTCACACCGGAAAAAAAAATATATAGTAGACAAAGGGAGGAACGGGAAAGAAATAGCACGAAAAGGGTGGAACCTAGCAGTCTCGCTACCCCACCTTCGCTGGCGAAGGTCGGCGACCCTCCCTAGGTCTCGGCGAGAATATTGGTAAGAGCAAGCGTGGTTGCTCGGCGGTGACAAATACCGACGACATAGTAGCATGAGGGCACACAGTCCTTCAATGGCTCACAACAAAGGCTTGCCTGCCCTTAGCTAGATGTGACTAGCACTCACAACATGAGGATATCTCATTGGGGTGGCGAGCAGTGGGGTCGCCACTGCGCAAGGACAAGCAGGCCCTTGCCGATGACTAGATGAGGGCTGACCGCCCTCACCGAGACCTTGCCGAGCCATCACCGACAAAGAAGGGCGCTACTACTAGGAGAGCGCACCCAACGTGTCTCGACCGGCACGGCTCAAGCACACTAAGCCCAACACGAGCCCGAGCCATGCCAAGCACTTCTTGTGCCGATGGATGTGTTGGGCCTGGATTTTTAAAAAATTAATTCGCGTGTTTTAATGAAAAAATTCATAATAAATTAAACTAATCTTTCAAAAAATATTAAACATAATATAAAATTCAATTGAAAAAAAAATAATGAAAAACACTCATTCAATTAACCCAAATTGAAATACAAGTACATCTTCAAATAATTCTAAAATAAGGGTTTATGCCATTAAAAATTCAAAAGTGTTACCCTCGGATACATTTACCCCAATGGTAGATTTGGGTCAATGGTACTAGTTTGAGATTTTTCATGGGACGAAAATTACTTTTGGGACAAAGGGGTATCAGTTTGTGATTTTTTATAAGACGAAGATTAGCTTGGGTTATATGTGTCATTGTGTACCAATTTATGACTTTTAATGATATTAACTCAAAAAAAAAAAAAAGACATGCAGTAATGCCCTAATAACGATTATACACAAATTACATCAAATAGAATGTCTAATAAATTCGGTGTCTTCAATGCTAGGTCCCTCGACCATGATTCAGACGGTACACTATTGTTGTCCTCTTATTCACGTTGAGCATAGAGTCAATTCTTTGGAAAAAAATCAACGATTTCTTACGAGGGTCGTTCCTTACATTTTCGCGGACAAACTAGACTCGTTACACTTAATTTATAGCGATTCGTCTTTTTCCCACCAAGTCAAAGGAATTCATGTAGGAGACTGTACACGTTCTTCATCACTTCGCAAACTCTAGTAATTCCTCAGCAGTCAACACGACACTAACATCAACAGTCATGAATGTTCATTAACTCAACTCTAAGAATATTCTCACAACAACTGCATGCCTTATGATGCCATTGTGTACTATCATGGTCCCCATTTTGCTTCATTTTAAGGAACAGACCCCATCACTCCCAGTTGACCTAAAGCCATGACCCACCGTCCTTGGAAAACACAGGTCTTCTTCGAGGCCTACAAGGAAAACCGCACAATCATCGACTTTCCCTCGGCCAAAAGCTAAGGAAATGGCGAATGGGACCAGATGGAAGAACACCCAGCACAACAAGGCAACCAGAACCCACAGCTTCATTTAATGAAAAAGGATGGTCCCCCCCACCACCCCCCCCATAACTTTGCCCGAAGAAAAGTCAAGTGTCTCTGTCTTGTGCTCATACCTGTTGGGGCAACCATTGGCAATTGCTTCATTGGCTTTAATTGGACCAGGCACAGACACTACTACCCAAAAAAGAATATTAATCATCCATGGCCCCCATGCTTACTAGTACAAATTGTGTTTGCACTCCTGCATAATCTTTGATACAATGAAAGGCTGCGAAGAAACTAATGAAATGGTTTGGTTCGGGTTACGGATTGTGCTCGCACTTGACGAAGTCGCAAATTAGAATTGTCCCCATGACTCGAACATGTCGGACGTCTTTGCACAGAGGTGTTTGAAGGAGCTAACATCGGGGCACGTATATGAGTGAAAGATCGAAAATCGAAATGCAAAACACGATTTGTCACTGTATATATCTCCGCCGGGAATGTTCATGATTAGCAGTATGGCCAAAACTTATGAGAATCTACTAATAATAAGGGGGGAAAATCAGAAAAAGAAGTTTGGCGGGGAGGGACTAGTTTTGGCAATATTAAGCAGTTTCTTTCAGGCTCCTGATGCCTGTGGAAATGGGGAAACATTGCAGAAAAGGGCTCACTGATACTGATGTTCACAAATTCACAGAGCAGTTGCCTGTCAATTTCATCTGATTAGAGATCCTGCCTAATTTTTGAAAGGTCAAAGAGGAACAGTTAAAGATCCGGGGCGGAGAAGAACTGCAAATGGAACGGTGCGTTTCAGGAAATGAGAGACGATTTGGACCTTGCATTCCTCTGACCATTCTCAAGTCTCACATCCAACACACTTCGCTTCAGCGATAAATACCAGTTAGAGAAGGCTCTTTTCCTTTAAATCTGAACTTCTTACATAAACAGGGGGAGCCATGCATGTGTTTTAACGTATGTAGGCTCGATTCATATGTTGGATAAGATGCACTCTCATGCCGACCTCATCCGATGGTACATGTGATTTTTTCTCGCACATTCTTTCGATAAATCATGAGTAATCGGTATACTGAAACTCGTGTACTAAATGATAACGGTGTGACAATACAAGTATCAATCAAGATTAGCTTACAAAGTCCTAGATTAGGCGATGTACCAAACTTTTTATTTGCTGTTGAATATGATCCACCTTTTTACATGACCGTGTTGAACGTGTTACATCACTTAGTATGCTAATTTTAGAAAATTAGTCTTAGTAGACCTAGCAACACTAAATGATTTGACCTTTCCAACAGACAAATAACTTCAGAGAAAAGGAGAGGAGGGGCGCAGATCTGAGCTCGGCGAAGGCGGAGGGGCTCGGGATCGAGCAGCTGCGACGGAGGGGCTCTTGGGGAAGGTGACGTGCTAGATGCAGATCTGAGCTCGAAGCGACGCGGGGCTCTCCCTCTTGGGCATAGATCTGAGCTTGGAGCGACGGCAGGGCTCTTGGGATAGGCAGAGGTGGAGGCGGTGGAGAGAGAGAGAGAGAGTGTGTCTTCTTCCCCACGAGAGCAGGCAAAGAAGCCTGGAAAATTTAAAAGAGGAGAGAGAGTATTTTAAGCGGGATTTTAATTTTCCGCCGGTCCCTCCTTTTTTATTTTTCAGCAAATCCAACTCAGCGCCACGTGTCTCCAGTTGAGTGGAACCAACTAAGCTCATGCGTGCCTATGTGGCGGATGATCTGGTGGTTGCTAATCACTGAATATTTTCTCCTTCCTCTTATACATGTAGCCTTTTGTTAAAATTATGCCCACATTAGATTGAGAGAGAGAGAGAGAGAGAGAGGTTGATTTGGCATTTAGATGAACATTCACTTTTTAAAGAAAAATATGCAATGTAATCACTTATAAGTCACTTAGAAGATTTCTCAATTTTAATGAATTAAAGTAGCATTATCGTTTCGACCGACAATTCAAACTAGTTTTATTAGATTAGTTATTAGCTAAAAAATAAAAGCCTAACCATGTTATATAATTTTAGCAAAATCTCTCGAGGGTTGGTTTGTTCTTATTTTTCTATTGAACAAAAACGATTGGTGATTTTCTCAACAAATAAAGTTCGACTTACATAATTCTAGAGATTCATGAGAGAAAGACATCAAATAAAAAGTTAAATAACAACGCAAAAACAAACAACTTACTCCAAATAGACCCCTTGAAAGAGAAAAGCTCATTCCTGCAAGTGAGAAAGACAAATGCAGAGGGCAAAATCGTTCACCACAGAGAGAAAGAAAACAAAGCAAAATTTCCAGCAAACACCTACAGAAAAAAATCCCTGTCCCTACAAAAAGTAGTACTTTTTCTGATACCTCATCAGCCACCGGGAGGAAGACCCTCTCTCTCTCTCTCTCTCTCTCTCTCTCTCTCTCTCTCTCTGCCATAGCCCAACACACACAAACTTGGCAACAACCATGCCGTCTCCACGCTGCTCCCAAAAGCCACAAGCCTCAACTTTTGCACTCGGCTCACAAACGCATACATCAAAGGGTCAGATGTATCTCTCCCTCCACGCCAACAGTACCTTAAAAACACACCCATCTTCACAGAGAAAGAGAGAGAGAGAGGGAGGGAGAGAGAGTGTGTGGGACTCAATTGGTAAGAGAGGGCATGCATGCAATGCTTTGTGTGGCGATGAATCAATGCAGAGAGAATAAAGCTGCTTGCTGTTCTTTGCCCTCTGCTAAAATTTTTGTTTTGGAGTCTTTCTTCTTGTTCCTTCCCATATAAAATGTCTGTACATCATTCGAGGCAAAAACCAACTACAACAAAAGAGAGAGAGGACTAGAGAGAGAGAGAGAGAGAGAGAGAGAGAGAGGATCAACACGGTTTATATCAGCCCAAGCCCAAAGAGACTAGAGACAATAATACTATCATTATGTTCCGTGTTTTCAAGTGCAAAAGAAAAGGACCTGACTTCTTTCCATCCCCTCCTACTTGCCATTTATCGCCTAATCACCCAACCATAAAACTTAGCCTTGTTGGCATAGAGATCAGCTTGGTATGATGCATCAGTGATTCAATCAGACTGAGAAAAAAGTTAGCAGAGTCCCCCCCAAAAAGAGTCCTTTCCTTCACTACCCTTTCAGAGAGCGATTTCAGTCTGCAGAGTGGCTGTATTCAACACCACCTGCTGCTGCTGCTGCTGCTGTTGCTGCTCGAGCTCGAGCTCAACCTCCCACCTTGCCCTAGCAATGGCACCATCATGAACCGGCACATACTCCTGTCACACGCGACACAAGATAGCAATTTTAAGCAAACCTAGGAGAAGGCAAAAGGGTCGGTAATCTGACTAGAAAATTAGTTTTAACTTTCTTTTTTGAGAGACCCGGATTTCGTTCTCAGTATATTGACTCACAGAAACCCAAAACAAATCGAAGAAATGCCCACACACCTCCAGCTTTTGGACGAGCTCCTTGGCGTTCGGTGCAGAGACTATGATGTGACGTTGAGATGGCTTGATGAAGCCATCGTCCACTGCCTTGTCGATGAATGTGAGGAGGTAGTTGTAGTACCCATCCACGTTCAGCAACCCGACCTGTGCATGTTTGTCCTTGGGACTGAAGTTAGGTTTTCAAGCAAAAATGGCTCAAAAGACACCATGAAAAGGAGCAACTTTTTTTTTAAGGTTCTTTCACTTACAGGCTTGTCGTGAATTCCGAGTTGAGCCCAAGTTATGACCTCCAATAACTCCTCCAGAGTTCCATACCCACCTGAAGAAACAAACCTGAAAATCTCAGGACCTTGAGGGTAGAGACCCACCATCAACCTTTCTACCAGCAAAAAAGACTCGTGCTTGACCCATATGTGACATCTTTCTTTCTCTTTTCTTTTTCTTCGACGTGTAGCACGAGAGAGAGAGAGAGAGAGAGAGAGAGAGAGAGAGAGAGAGAGAGAGGAAAGGACAGGAAACATAAGAAGGACCTGGTAGGGCAATGAAGCAATCGGAGTGGCGAGCCATTTCCGCTTTCCTCTGGTGCATGTCAGCCACTGGCCTCACCTCTCCCACAGTTTCACCTGTTATCTGTAAGCAAATGCAGAAAACGAAAAAACAAAGCCCAAAAGGAAATAAAAAAACAGAAAAAGAATCACTGCCTCATTCTAAGATATTCCCAACGCTACATAGTGAAATTCCACTAGAAAAAAAAAATATGATGGAAAAAGAAGAGATATCGAACACAAGAGCCATTCGTTTCAAACCTCTTTGCCCATGAGAGTTCTTGGGATTATCCTGCCCATCAGAGAAAGAAAGAATCCACCACAACAAAAAAAGGAAAGAAAGTTCAGAAATTGATCAGAGCAACAATGGCAGAGAACCGCAAAACACGGCAACATCCGAGACCCAGAAGAGGAATGCAGACAGAGCTGGTTATTGAACATGTAAAAGTGCATACCCAAGAACGTTTCCTCCTCCACGGTGAACCGCCTGAGAGACCAGACCCATCAACCCAATGCTCCCCCCTCCATACACAAGGTCCAACCTTCTCGCTACCTACGCATTTTGCGTTCGGCCCACCAACAATTCACACACCAAAACAAAGACCAAAACCAAACAGAAAAAAAATCCAAACAAAATTAGCAAAGAACCGACAGAACAGCCAGCTGTGTTTACCAGCTCTTGGGCCAACTCAAGAGCGGCGTCTCTGTAACAGTTCCTCTTCCCAGTGCTGCTGCCGCAGAACACGCACACCCTCTTGAATCTCGACGTGACGATGGCCTTTGCTCCGCTCAAATCCATGGCTCAAAGTTGGAATGTCTCCTCCCGGAAGCAGCGGACGGTCCGTTTGAGCCCGACCCAGAAGCGATCGGACTCGATATTTATAGAAGGGGAGGTGGAGAGATTCATGGAACAACGGGACTCCGCCAGAATAATAATGGTTTAAATATTATTGATCCGAGAGAGAGAGAGAGAGAGATGTGTCGTGAAGGAAAGAACGAAGAGGGAAGGGGTGGGGCGGGGTGCAAGTGTGCTGCGATGGAAGGATAGGGAAGAACCGAGCCAAGTAAGACAAAATCATTCCAACAAAGGAAAAAATAATAAAAGTAAGACAAAAATTCTATGTGAGGAGAGAGAGAGAGAGAGGGAAGTCTGGGGAATGAGGGTCCACGTGTCCCGTGGTAGTGCAAGAACCATGAAATTTTTGGGCTTAATTTCTTCAAAAGAAAATCTTTATTTTAGGTCGAATTACAATTCTGTATCCGCCGTGCCTTCGGAAATTGCCGCTTATTACTTCAAAATTATCAACCTCACGAGACTATGAGAGTATTGGTGAAAACGCATATTCTGATGATGAACTTTTAGCTGACCCTGATATTGATAATTTTGAAAAAAAATGATAATCGCGAGTTTTGAATGAAGGGAAAATTTAGGACTTAAATGGAAGTTGGTAACATTTTTTAGAAAAAAAAATCAGGGCAGAATTGGACAACATTGGGTTTTTTTTTTTAGGGAATTAGATGGGAACTTTTGTGCTTGGTCTAGTAATTTGAATGTTGAGGTGGGGAAAGTAAGTAAATAATAGGGGGAAGAAAATCCCGTTTTCTGGGAAAAAAATGAAGTGAGATAAATAAATAAATTGATAGTTTCGAGAAAAGATGGACACCTACACTACTACACACACCTAAGGTAAGGAAGCTTTTTGCCCTATATCCTTCTCGTATTTAATGCTACGCAATCATAACGTGGTGGCTGAAAACACGTGCCCACCTTTTTGCCTCTCCCCCTACCTTTCTCTCTCGCATCAAATCAAATCATTTAACGAGTTTTGCAAACTATGTTTTGGGTCCCTACGAAACGAGCGGTCTTCCACCTCATCAATTCGAAAAGATAATTCTTGACAAAAAAAAATGCAAAATAACAATAAAAATAAAAATATGCAAAGGGATGATTGCCAAAAATCAACTTAAATTACCCCCCTCAATATTACCATCGGTGACGACAGACATGCAGCCCTACTGATAAAGAGATTTGGGGAGATGGGGCAAGAATGTAACTAGGTTCGGGATTCGATCCACGTGAGCATCACACACATATGCACATAGAAAAAAGGAGTGAAACAAAAAAAATATATTGCCATCGATGTGTAATTTGTTTCAAATTAGGAGAAAGTCTCACATTACACTCTTGAATTTTCGATTTCCGCTATGTTTTTTTCCCGTTTGTGCAATGGTTAAGTGTTGGCCATGGACTGAATCGTATGGTTAACGCGATTAAGGAGATAGAGAGTGATGTGTGGTTAATAAAGCTAAGAAGATTTCGTAGATATTAGTTTGGTCACTAATTGTTGGGTTAGTCTATTATCGAGTCACATTTTCCGGCTATGCAAATGGAGAAATTAGTGGTCGCAATAGAAATCAAAGTTTAGTAGGGTAACTGTAACTTCCCAAAGTTTAGGGATATTGCGCAACAGTGCCGAAGTTCCAAGGAGGGGAGTAATCTGTAATTTTTCAAAGTTCGAAAGGTTGTTGTACAACAACTGAAAAGTTTATGAGGATTTTCAGTAATCCTGAATTCATATCTTAATGTATGATAGAACAAAATTAAAAGCATAATTAATTCAATAATCACTAAACAAATTTGGCAAAAAATTCAAATAGCATTTATTTTCGAAAATTCCAAAACACCTCTCGACAAAAAAACACAAAAATACTTAATAAATATTATTAGGACCCAGGTTAGTGTCCTCTTTTGGACAAGATCTTTAAGGAATTTATTCTCTTTCTTTCTTTCTTTTACTATACATTGGATTGAACAAATTTCTTTAAGGTTTCGCTAATAAATGTTCCTCGAGCACTTGAAACACACTGTTTTTTATATATACATATAATTAATGCATCGACCAAAAAAATATACATATAATATATGGTTGGAAAATCATTATAAATTTATAATAATTACTAAATGAGTTTAACGAAGGACCCTGAATATACTCTGCTAAATTTACAAAGAATGGGATCGATGAACGAGGGGTCAGATAATCATTGGGATTTGTGCGTGTAAAAAGGAGACTTTTCGTGCTCCTGATGATTGGTTTTCATAATAGTATAATCTCCTAGGCTCATTGATAAAAAGCCCCTAGAAAATTAAAAAAAAAAAGTGACAAAATCTTTTACTTGTGGGCATTGCATTACCAATTTGCATTCCCAATGAGCTTTTGTTTTAAAACCCACCCTAGTAATTAATTACTAGTGACTCGCTTTAGCTCCTTAACCACACACATCGTTTGGGAATTGCTCTTTTACTTGTGGTGTTCGTTGCATTACCAATTTGCATTCCCAATGAGCCTTATTTTAAAGGGTTGATGTCAAAAAAAATTTCAAATCGATATATTCGTGATAATTTTATTTTAAATTAATTTTTTGATCGTCGAAAAATTCCAAATGGATATATTTGTGACGAATTCACGTCCGTTAGTTTCCATTAAATTTTATCGTTAAATTGCTAAGTTGGATGATACGTGGCATTGAAGGGTGTACCAGTTTGGGGTTTTACCTCCGTTTGTCACAAGTGTATCCGTTTGTGATTTTTTATGCTATTAACCCAATTTATCGAAAACTAATTGAGGGTAAATTTATCACAAATATACCGGTTTTGAATTTTTTATGGTCACAAAATTGGCTTGGGATAAATTTGTTACCGGTGTATCAGTTTGGGGTTTTCGGTGGTCAAATAATTTAGAGTAAAATTATCACGAGTGTATCAGTTTTGAATTTTTCGTGGTATTAACCTTGTTTTAAAACCCACCTAGTAGTTAAGTTACTAGACACTAGCTTAGCTCTTTAACCAAGCATCAATTAGAATGAATTTGTCAAGATGTCCGATCTAAATATTTAAACCTTTAACTGGAAGGAGATCAAATGCATATATGACGTATTATAATCACGTATTTGAGCAACACGATATTGTATTAAACATTCCCGTGACGTGTAAGCTAACCACTTATACATGTACGACTTGATTAAGCTACCCGTGAAACGGGTCATAGTTCTTATTTTGCGAGAGCCGATTGTTGTCAATCCACCACGAGCAATGGGTTTGAGAGAAGAGCGTCGAGAGTCGAACTCTTGACCCGTGCTCTAACCTCATTTTTAGAATATCTAACGCAAAATCTCAAACCTATAAGTGATGTGAGATGCCATGCAAGCTTATTATAATCGTGTATTTAAACTGGGTAGGATTATATTTGACAAATTATAATTTTAAAAGAAGGTATCCTTTTCGTGTTTTCCAATTAAAAAAATAATTTTTATCTACAGAAAAAGGAATCTGTGAATTTACTCGTGAGAATTTATAATTCAAAAGTGAGACTGCTGATGGGTTCTCTCTGCTTGCAAAAGAAACATCTGCCTGGCTGCGAGACAGCCCTGGCGACGAGGTACACATGAAAGACGAAGATGGCAAGGTGAGCTTTTAGATTGATCTCTGTAGGACAAAAAAGCTTTTCCATCTGGGGGGGTGGCTTTAAGAACCGTAATGATTTCAGATGGATAAATAGAAAGTATTTAAATAATTGAGTTAATACCATAAAAAAATCTCAAATCGGTGCATTTATGATAAATTTACCATCCGTAATTTTCATTAAATTTTACCGTCAAATTATTAAGTTGGATGACACGTGGCATTTAACGGATATACCAGTTTAGGGTTTTATCCTTCTATTTGTCACGGATTTACCGATTTATGATTTTTCGTAGTATTAATCTAATTTAACGGAGGATAACTTTGTCATAAGTGTACCAGTTTGGGGTTTTTTATAGTTAAAAAATTAGTTTGAGGTAAATTTATTACAGATGCACCGGTTCGAAATTTTTTGTGGTCAAAAAATTAGTTTATGGTAAATTTATTAGGGGTGTATTCATTTGAGATTTTTTATAGTATTAATTCTAAATAATTTGTTGCGAATTATTTTATTTTTTCATGGGGGTTTTATTTTAATAAAATGGAGTTTTGATTTCCTCCATCGGACATAAAGTGCATTTATGGGCATGGTACAAAGTGACCTCAGCCGTGTAATCATTATTATCCTGATCATTGTCTGAGTTACCAGGAGGCTAGTTTGTTCTGTACAGGGCTCAAATTTGCTTTTCCGTTGGCCAAGGATAAAAGATAAAAAAGGAAAAAACAAAATACATAAACATGTTACTGATTTTCGTAAATACGGAATTTCCTTTTTATCTTATAATACAGAAAACCGAACATGTATCATATTAGAGATGAGTGATTTTAGGATCGGTCCAAATTCCGGCTAGAACCGGAACCTACCCATGATAATCGCTTCCCTTTGAAACCTAAAACTTACATGCATACCCTGAAACGTATTTTGTACTTGGGACCGTCCAATTTCCCTTCTTTTTTCTTTTTTAATTTTAGTTAAGCAAAATGAAAGTGAACGGAATAACAAAAGTGAAAATTTCCAATTTGTCAATAGTAACCATTGAAAAAAGAGTTTATTCGGGAATATCGGTAGCTCGCAATTGATTCCATGCCCATCGTTAGCAGGACTTGATATTGTTATGGTGCTTCACTGAGGAAGTATAAGAGTTTCTGTTGTGTTAGATCTCCAGTCTCTTGTGTTTTGTTAACTGTTCGGAAGTTGCTGATTGAGGTCTGATCCCCTTGAGATTAGCTAATGAATTGAGCTAGAGTTTAGCTCTCGCTTGTTGTTTGGAAGATAGATACATGATTAGGCTTGGTTTTCGCGTTACGTAAGTGGTCTAGTTCTGGTCTGGTTCAGTTCGGTTCTTATCCGAGAATTAGAAACCAAATTGCACGGTATAGATTCCAAAAAATAAGAAATTGGGAACCGAATCGAATCCCACTAGAATTTGGAGCCGAACCAGTTCCCACCAGTTCGGTTCTCCGATTTTCAATTCTACCTTGACCATGTTCCCCCCTATATCATACGTATGCTGTGTATCCGACTTCCGTATGCATGCATTTCCAATTCCAT